AATATCATGCAGAGCCAGTAGCTCAGGGTCTTTCTTCTTGCCTGGAGCAATACATGAATATCCTCATTAAAGTCTCTTCCAGTCCTACAGTACTGAAAATTTACAACAGACCCTTAGGACAGTAAGGAAAGACCGTAGAGAAGGATCAGAAGGATGCCATAGAGCTACTCCTGTTTGCAGGTAATATGTGATCCAGGTACAAAGTCCAACATGATAAATGCCATTAGGAGATAAGATCAAACACAAAGTTTAGTTACATTTTCATGCCCTGGCAAAAGACAATCACAGATATGTTTGTTTACCTTTGTAACAGAGTAACAGTGGTTAGTTGAGTTTATCTTTAGTCTGATTTCTTTTCTTTTCTTTTCTTTTCTTTTTTTTTTTTTTTTTGAGATGGTCTCACCATGTAGGTCAATCTGGCCTTAAACTCACGATGTAGCCCAGGCTGGCCTTGAACTCAGTGATCCTCCTGTCTCAGATGAGTGCTAGGACTACAGTCTGGTTTCTGACAAACTCTATTTTTAAGCCACAGCTTCCTCATTTGTGGGTTTTGTGTTTACTTTTTACCCCAGTGACCTGAAGTAAATGTTCAATTTATATTTTTGGAGAAAAATACCTCAATTTCTTTCATATGAAAATTCTTTGGGTTGCTTTACAAATTAGGTCGATTTAATGAAGCAAAAAATTACTGGGTTATAATATTTTCCATTCTCAAAAGAAGGTAATGTGTTGTCTTCTTGCATTTAGTAAACCAGAGAATTCTGAAGCAACAAGATTCTGTATATTCTTTCTTCCCTCCAGCATGGATGCCTGCAGAATTCTTGCCCCTTTGGTTGTCACGGAGAAAAATTTTTTGTTTGCCCAGTGTACTTTGAAGTACATGAATGACATTACTTCTATTCAACAGAATTCAGTTACCCTCATTTCTAAACACTAGAACTATCACATCCCTCTGTCTTCTAGAAATTAGGCAGGGCAATATTCCTTGTTTTGGCCAAAGAAATGCAAATGTATCTCTCACTTTCAGATGGGAGCATTTAGTTGTTTGAAGGCCCAGCACTCTCTTTTTGTCACACTGAATTCCTTGTTGGTTTGGGGCATCCACCAAGGTCTGTACAAGGCAGCTCCCTGGAGCTTTGCTTGGACCAGCTGCAGACATCCTGCAAGACAGAAATAAACTTTTGTTGCATGAATATGAAGTCACTCAATGTAGAGGCTGTTTATGACTCCATCATAAGCTCGCCTTTCTTAGCTGATAGAATGTAGCTCTGTTTCCATTGATTTTGTTTGTTTTTTATTTTAAAGATTAAAAAAACTAACAACAATGAAGACAAAACCAAAACAACACAAAAATGATACATGACCTCAAAACAAAATAATAAGAATTAACAATTGCTACATTACATACTGTTATCTTCTACAAAGTTGCTCAGTACACCAGATATAAGAATGTAAGATTGATCAAACAATCAAAGACAGTAACAAGTAATAAAAAAAAAAAAAAAAAAAAAAAAAATTGGAAATGATGCAGAGCTTCACCACACGAGATGGTAGGAGTTCAACAGTGGTTCTTATGCTGCATATTGTTGTTTTCAGATCAGTCATTCTGATTGCCAGATTTAAGCATGCAAAATTGGTCAAGAAAAAAGAAAATTTTAAGCATTGACTGTTCCTTTCAATATGATTTTGTCTTTTTACGCTGATTTTGATCTTACTAATTTTGCAGTAAGCCTTTTAAACCAGTGCATGGGTCTTTCTTCACTTCAAGTAAAGTTTTTTTCTATTACATCTTAAGTCTTTGCTTTTTCTTTTCTTCTTCTGGCCTGTCTTTCAGAAGCACCACCAATCTAGTTGCTGTCTGTTCCTCACTGTATTGTAGATGATTTTATAATTCAGTTCCTTTTCTCTCTACATTTTGGAAAATATTCTTCTTTTTCTTTTTTCTTGGGGATGTGCATACATTGCTGTGATATGATGGGAAAATATTCTAAAGTTCTTATTCCATTGCACTAATCATTACCACACCAGCAACTGTGACTCAAGAATCCTAGCAGTCAGGCTTATACCCCTTCCCTGTCCCAGACAGGAATGACAGAAGATTACAGGAGGAAATGACCGATTCATGAGAAAAGCACTATACATTCTGAGACGTAAGTGTCCTTCAAAAAGTGCAGCTGGGCATGGTGGTGCATGCCTGTCATCCCAGCACTCAGGAGGCTGAGGCAGGAGGAGGATCAGTGAGAGTTCAAGACTAGCCTGGGCTACAAAGTGAACTCAAGGCCAGCCTGAACTGCACAGCAAGACCCTATCTCAAAAAGACAAAAAAAAGTGCAGAGGCTCTTTCCAATTACTCCAGATCTATGGTCCTCAATACAGCTGACTTGCCCCCTACCCAGAAGAAATTCATCAATATCTAGAGAAAGGTTTGGTCATAATAACTGAGGGTGTGGTGCTCCTGGGACCTAGTGGGCCGAGGCCAGGGATGCTTCTAAATATCCTGCAGTGCGCATGGCGGCCCCTGGAACCTACATAAATTTGGCCCAGAATGTCAATTAGTACCTAAGTCAGAAACTCTGTTCTAGAATAAGATCTAATCGCCAGCAAACTACACACACTCAAGAGTTTCAGATCAGTATTATGTTTTGGTCTTTCTTCTTTCACTTTTCATTTTTAAAAAATTTGCAAACATACAGAAAATAGTAAGAAGAAGAGGAAACATGTACAACTCCACACTTCAGTTAAAATGGGCCCTACTCCTTTAAGCCTGGTCCCTTGGAACTGGAGGTGGCCGGGAAGCAGGCACTTACCCCTTCTGTGAGGGCTGTGGCCACCTTGGGATTTCCCAGGATGAGAGGGGGCCTTGGGAGGGGAAATCACTGAGGCTCAAGTTCCCTAAGGGACTCTGTCTTTCCCCAGTACCCAGTGCCCTCCGCAGGCCTCCTGGCTGCGCTCTGCCCAGGTGTTGAGGCTATTTCTAAAGGAGCCCAAGTCCCACGTGCCTCCTGGCCCAGCCCTTCCTGTAAAACTCCATTTTGTCACCTGGATGTTGTGAGCCCCCACAGCAAGGCCAGCCCTACCTGGCTGGCAGTCTGAGCTCCCTTCCCTCGGCTCCAAGCCCCAGACTCAGAGGAGCCCAAGGGTTATGGCAGAGTCCTCAGCTGGGGGGGCACCACGGCCCCGAGTCCATGTGAGGTGTTTTCCCTATTCACCCTGGGGGAGCTGTGCCCAGGGGAGTAGGGACCACTCAGGGACCTCTGCCCCAACAGAGGACGCACAGCTGGCCACAGGCAGCGAGACCCAGTGGTCAGTGGTGTGCTGGCCAAGGGTGCTTTGAGGGTCACAAGGAGCCCGAGTCTCCTTCCAGAGTCAGCAGCGGTCAGGGCAGCCGTCAGTGTGAGATGCTAATACCTAACAGGCAGCACCAGCCTCTGTGCCCACCAGCTCTTGGCAGGGTGCCGAACCCAAATGCTGAGGCCTGAAGTTCAGGGCAGGGAGCTGGGCTCGCCTCTGCATGCGTGTGCAGCCCTGCCACACCCCAGGTTCCTGTCCCATCTTCTGTGTGGTTCAAACTCAGCCGGACTAGGCCAGGCAGCTCTGGGTAGCAGACAGCAGACCTGTTCTCATGTTACCACCCACCCACCCGGCCACCACCAGCAGGTCACTGGCTAAGTGTGGGTCTCCACATCCTGTCTACTAAAACTCAAAGTAAACCGGGTGTGGGGGTGCACGCTTATAATCCCAGCACTCTGGGAGGCTGAGGCAGGAGAATCAAGAGTTCGAGCCCAGCCTGAGTACTTTCACAACTTAGTGAGACCCTGCCTCGAAGTAATTTTTTTTAAAAAAAAGAGGTCCTGAGAATGTAGTTTGTTGGAAAAGCCCTGGGTTCAATCCCCAGTATCACAAAAAATTTTAAAAATTTTCAAAACTAAGTAATCCCTAACTCACACAGCTTTTGTGGCACTTCCAAGAGGGTGACATGAACATGCTTTTTCGGCCACACTGCGAGGTGCTGCTGGTTTATGCTCTGCGCTCTTCCAGCTCTCCGCCTATGGGTCCCTCCGTGCATCTGAGACCCCTGCCAGGTCCCCCTCTTGTGGTCCCCTTCCCTCCTCAGGCTCGGTCACTCCTGCTGTAAGGACAAGGGCACCATACCCAGAGGCAGCGTGGTGGACCAGGAGTCACATGCCCTGGGGGGATCCACACCCAGCAGTGCCACCTGTGACTGTCACTCCAACAGCCAGGCTCTCCACAGCGACATTAGAGCTACACACAGCTTCCCACGGCCCCAACTCACAGCATCTCTGCTTCTTTGTAAATTGCATCCTTTTGACACTAACCTAACGGTACTGATTTCATTCACAGAAGCGACCCATGCCAGGACCCTCTCTGTGCTTCCTGGCTGGAACTGGGCTCCACCTCTTCCTCTCCCCACATGCAGGGCCCACAGCACCTCCTGGGTGGGAGCATACCGCTGACCTCCGGGTAGCCAAGGCAGTGCAGAAAGGGAGAGGAGCGTGACCAGGCCATGCCTGACCGCAGCTTCTTCTCGCCTGCTCAGCTCCTCCCGCCCCTGGTGGCCAAAAGGGACTCAGGGCACAGGAAGGGCATCTACAGAGGCCTGGGAGCTGTGCCGGTCGGGTCCAGATTCATGTCCGCGTCCCTGGGCCGCAGACCTGCCCTCCACACTGTCCACTTCCCCAGCCTGGGCCTGGGCCTTTCTCACTGCGCGTGTCCAACTTGCAGAAATCAGCTGCCATCTGCCTCCCCCACCCTGTGCCCTCTGACCGGCACCCATGACAGGGGCCACATGGCCTGGACAGTCCGCCTCGCTCCACCGCTGATGCTTCTGCTGCTGTCCCCAGGTGAGGGGGCGGGGGCAGCCGGGGCTATGGGACGGGGGCTCAGGGCAGGTGGCACTGTGCCACTGGACCTTGTTCCCCAGGCTCCTGGGAGCACTCAGACATACGGGTCCTTCAAAGAGTGGCAGGAGAGACACTGAGGGTGCCCGTGTAACTACCCGTCCCCCGGCGAGTCCTACAAGGAGAAGAGCTTGTGTCGGGAGGTGGCAGGATTCGTGTGTGGCAGGTTAGTCCCCAGCCTCAGTGCCCAGGGCCAGGCCCCTCGGTTGTCCATCTGGGACCACCCTGCAGCCGGCCACTTCATCGTCTCCCTGGCTGGCCTCAGGGAAGAGGACTCCGGACGCTACTGGTGCTCCATGCGCCACACTTCGAGCAACACCGTCTTCAACTCCGTCAAATTCCACCTGGCCGTGCTGCCAGGTGAGCCCTCCGGCCCGCGCGGGGTGCCCTCCACTCCCTCCGGGTGCCTCTGCCCTCCTGCTTTCCCAGCCCCCTCCAGACTCCTACTCGGGCGCCCTCCCCGCTCACAGGAGCCTCCACAGGGCCTGGCAGAGCCAAGGCCGCAGGTCCATCTGGTCCTGACCCAGGGGATTCCCGCCCCATCACCAGCGGCTCCCCTCACGAGGTCCCTCCCCTCCAGCCCCCACCCGGGCCCCCAGGGCCGCCTGCACCCCCAGCTCCCCACAGAGCCGGAGCTCTGCGCCCCCAGCAGAGGGAGTCACCGAGGCCCTTGAGGCTGCGCCTGCCTTCACCACATCAGCTTGGTGAGTCTGCCCGGGACCCGTCCACCCTGCCCAGCACAGGAGCGGCAGACCTGACCAGCCGTCTTGTCCTGCCCGCTTCTTGCCTCTCCGCCCTCCAGGCCCCGGAATGCCACCTTCTGCCCTGGCCCTGAGGCCCCCTGCGCCCTGGGCCCGGGGCTCTGCGGACTCCTTCTCACCAAGAGCCTGGCGCTGGGTGCCCTGCTGTGGTGAGAGGTGTGGGTGGGGCTTGAGGCTGAGGGCACAGGGTGAAGGGGCAGCACCTGCTCCTGTGCAGAGGCCACAGGGCCCGGGGAAATGATAAGTGGCGCTGGGGCCTCCAAGTGCCAGCTCCCAGCTCCCCCGGGCATCTCGGTCCCTGTCTTCTCCCCCCTCCCCCGCCTGCTCTCCCTCCGTCTCTGTTTCCCCCTCTCCTCTCTCCCAGCCTCTTCTCTCTCTGTGTTCTATTTTTCCTCTCCCCCTCCTTCCAGAAACACTGTCCTGCACAACCCAGAAATCCCCCCACTGCCCACCCGCTTAGGGACCTCCCAAAGCCGCCACTGCAGGCCTCCGCCCACCCTGAGTGCTGGGGGAGGGCAGACATGGGACAAAAACTGCCGCTCGCCCTGGGAAGAAGGAGACATGCGGGAAAACTGAGGCGGGGCTGGTAGAAAGGTGTGGGCGGAGAGGTGTGGAAACAGGGTCAGGCCAGGCCAGGAACAGGCTTGGTGGGGGCAGGGGCTGGGGGGAGAGGGGACCAGGTCCAAGAATGCTTTCAGCCACTTCATGTAGCCAGGCACAGTGACACGTGCCTCTAGTACCAGGACTCAGGAGGCTGAAGCGGGAAGATCTCTTGAGCCTGGGAGTTTGAAGCCAGCCAGGGCAATTTAGTGTGACCTCATCTCATAGTAGAAGGTGATTTTGCTTATTTCTCTGCTCCTGGCATTGCAGGAAGTTGAGGAGCAGATGTGTGTGGCTCAGAGGGGGTGCTGGGGGCAGCCAGCCCCAGCTCTGCGGCCACAGGACTACCCCGAGCCACAGGACCTGAAGCAGATGCCCAGTGTCCCCAAAACTGGGCCCCCAGGAGCTGCTCCCTGACTCCTGAAACCTGCAGTCCTGCAAAGACAAGGCCAAAGCTCTGCTGCATCCTTCGCACCAACCCTGAGGGTCCCCTCAAGACCCACCCCGGGGGTCGCTGATCCCTGCACCAGTCTGTCAGGGTCGGCATCATCTTCCTCCTCGTAGGAGCAAAGCCCAATGTGACATCTCAGCAGCAGCCCCTCGGGCCCTGGGGACCATTCTTCCCCCAAGCCTGAGACAGCAGGCAGCTAAGGGGAAAGAAAGGAGGGCCCTCTGGAGCCCAAGCTCTGGGCCAGCACCACCTTCTGAGTCCAGCACTAGCCCGAGCCCAGGATGCCCGAGTCTAAACACGATGGGAGAGTAACCAGCTAACTCAGCTGATGTGTGATAAGCCCCCGCATGAGCCAGGTGGCCCTCTGCAACCCTTGGTGATCCTAGCCCTAATTACCATGTCATTGACTATGCAGATTAGACCCCGCCTCCTGTGGGCTTCAGACGCCATGACAGTTCCTCCAAGGGTCCTAAGAGGTCAAAATTTCCACTGAGGGGCCAAGCCAAGCTGCTCAGTGGTAGGAGTCACACCTCAGACCAAACCCTCAATCCCACCCCAGACCCTAAGGCCTAAGACCCTCGGCACCAGGCTTGGGGCCCGAGCGCTCCTCTCCCTGGCCACTTCCACTGGCTGGACCGGACTTTCACTTTCAAATAAATCTTTTTTTGTTGTTGTTTTTTTTTTGTTTGTTTGTTTTTTCTCCGGTACCAGGAACCGAACTCACGACCTTGCGCTTGCCAGGCAGGCACTTTGCCGCTGAGCTAAATCCCCAGCCCCCCAAATAAATCTTTGATTCTGCTGCTCCTTTTGAGTGCTCTGCTCCCTCTTTTTTTATTTTTATTTTTATTTTTTTCTGGTACTGGGAACCGAACTGACAACCTTGCACTCACCAGGCAGGTGCTGTGCCGCTGAGCTAAATCCCCAGCCCCGCCCTGCTCACTTCTTGGTTCAGGACGTCAAGAATTTGGACGAGATCCCTGATCTGGTGACGCCCCTCCACCACCCTTCTGCGTGTCGCCCCTTGTAAAAGAAACCCCTTAAGCACATGTAACAGAGTCCCTAAGAGTAAAATCGAGTCAGACCCTTGAAACTAAGAGAGGTGTTGAGTGCGCAGCTCTGCACCCTGGGTGTAAGACGGAAACAGACTGGGGCAAGCGGAACCAAGGATCAGAAGTCGAGCTCTGCCTCCAGAGTAGCTTCTCTTGCACAGGTGGCTAAAATCAGCCTATGCGTGGGTTTGGCTCGTATCTCTCCCCTGATTTGTCAGAAGGTCAGATAAAGGACTTAGTTTGAAGCTGGGCATAGTGATTGGTGCACATCTGCAATTCCAGCACTCTGGAAGGCTGAGGCAGGAGGATGGCAAGTTCAAGCCCAGCCCAGGTACAATTTAGCAACTTCACAAGACCTGCTCAGAATTAAAAAAAAAAAAAAAAAATTCAAGGGGCTGAGAATGTAGCTCCATGAAAGGGCCCTGGACTCAATCCCCAGTGATAAAAAAGAAATTAAAAATTTAGCTTGGATGTGGTGGTACGGAATTTAAGCATGAGTGACTCCACGTTGGTTTGCTGTGCTGGACAGAGAGATGGACCTCAGTCCAATGACTGCCTATAGATAAGCCGGTGTCACCACCAGGGGGCCCCCCCTGCTCCGCCCCATCAAGTACTCTGTCACCCTGTCACGGTGCACCCCATGCTGTCCTGACTCCCCCCAGGTAGCTTGCTGCGGGCTCTGCCTGCGCGGCCACGCTGAGGACCAGGCTGACCCGGTCAGTCCCTGTCACTCCACAAAGCTTCCTCTCTTCCGGGCACTGTCCCCCTGTGCCAGGCCTGGCATCGCTCTTCTTTCCTGGGCCTCTGTCTTTCCTCAGCTCTCTGGCTACCTCTGCTGCTTCCCACACGCAGGGAGGGGGCTGTGGGCTCCAGGCCCACGGGGAAGGGTCTCGCGTCAGGGTCTGTCCTCCCTCAGCCCCCTCCTCCGCAGCCCTCTTCCCCACATCAGGCTCCTCACAGGGCAGGGCAGCGAGGGAGGACGTGGGCAGCTGACCCAGCCTCCACCACTCGCCCCTCTGGCCTCTGAGGTCAAAATGACCCACTTCTAGCCCTCCACTCCTATGGCTTCCTCCCCACCCTACAGCTTTTCTGGTCCGTGAAGCCATCAACTATCAGCCAACTTCAAACGCGTGAGAACCTCTCCCTTCTCCTTCTCCTTCTCCCCCTTCTTCATTTTCTTCTTTTTTCTTTTTTTGTTTGTGTGGTCTTCAGGGCAGAACCCAGGCCTTTCCCTTGAGCTATAATCCCCAGACTTTTTTATTTTTACTTTTCACCCCCAGCCTTTTTTTTATTTTTATTTTTTTAGTTTTGAGACAGAATCTCACTAAGGAGCCCCTGCTGTCTCCAAACTCATAGCTGATCCTCCTGCCTCAGCCTCCGGAGTGCTAGGATTAGGGTGTGTATCTGAGTATCTGCCATACTCAGCTTAGCAATGTATCTTTTACTGTAGCTGTTTTCTCTTTTAATTTAAGCATTCACTGCATTTTTGATCATCCCTCCTGTTTTTAAATCCCCACAGTACACAAAGGAGTTACACTCCTCCAACATACCCTATGCACTTGGCTCCTCCCAACGCCCCCAGCAGTCTCTTCAGTGGTGGCCTCAGCGTGTGGCCCGGGTGGGTATCCCTCCCCTGGGTTGGGTCCTGGGCACCGCAGCCAGCACAAAGACCTGGGAGCCGAAGGACGGACACACCCACTCTGTGACAGCCATGTGCGAGGGGCAATCAAGTTTCTTCGGGTTGCTATCTGTGTAGGACTTGAGGGATACAAAGATTTGGGTTTTTTGTTTTGTTTTGTTTTGTGTTGTTTTTGTCTTTATTTTCGGTTGCCCTTGGAACCATCTCTGTTCCTTTTAGTCTGAGACGGCAGTGTTTTGTGACTGTCATTCTCTTTTAAAACCTGTGGGTCTCAGCCAGGTGAGGTACGCACGTCTGTCATCCCAGCACTCTGGGAGGCCGAGGCAGGAGGATCGAAAATTCAAACTCATGTTGGGCAACTTAGTGATTTAGCGACAGCTTGTCTCAAAATAAAAAACAAAAAAGGGTGGGAATGTGGCTCAGTGTGAAGACCCTCAGTCCAATTCCCAGGACAATAACCAACCCCCCCCCCAAAAAAATTAGTTTTCTTTGACTCCTCTTGTGACTTCTGTCATAAAATAAAAGCCACATTCACAAAACCTGGTGGACACGCTCCTGCTGTGCCTCAGGCTTCTGAAAAGAAGCTGAAAGTGATACCTTGAGGCCTCTCAGACACCCTAATTTTTTAACTAAAACAATCTGTGACACCCACTCCCTTAACCTCCTCGGCGGTCTTTGTCTGAGGCACTGTACGAAATGGTGAGAAAGATACATCTTGGGCTTTGACCCCAGTCCCTGACTCTAGTCTCTTCCCCGTTTCCTGAAAGACGGGAGTGGTGACAGAAACATCCTAGACCTGGGCCGGTTTTCTCGGCTTGGCCCCGGTGGACGGGGGCAGGGTGGGGCCCTGGCTGAGCCGCCATTACTACTTGGAAAATGAAGGTGGAGAAGATTCTGGAGCCCTTGCCACATGAACGCAGGTGCATGGGTCTGTTTTCTGCTGCTACTACGAACTACTCAAAGCTCTAGATGAGTTTCAGAGGCTGTGAGCCAAGATGGCTCACCCTCATCTCTTCGGGTGGGTGTCATCAGGTGGGGACGTGTGTGACAGGGACAGTCACATGGTGACAGAGAAGGAGGAGAGGGGTCAGCCTCACTCATTTGAGCACGTCTTGTCCTCCCAGAACTCGCCCCACAAGACCAGCGTGGACTCCTAAACTCCTTCCACCCGACCGCCACTGAGGGCCAAGTTTCCACACATGAATCTGCGGGACAGGCCACGGCCAGATCCCACCATGGGGACGGGGCACGGAAGGCCCCAGAAAACAAAAAGAGCCAGCCCAGGAACACAGCGGCGGGCCTGCAGGTGGGAGGCCCGTGGGAGATTCTGGAAAGCTTGGAGGAAAGGGGCAGCGGCAGGAAGAAAGGTTGGAATAGAGGGAGCTAAAGAGGGACAGACGAGGCGGGACACTGGCCGGCCATAGACAGCGGAGGAAAGGGTGAGTCACATCAGCCACTGTGACCACGGCCACCCAGGATGTTGACAGAGAGTAGACAGCGGGGCCACTTCCTGCTCCCTCTCACGCCTCACGCTATGGTGGCATCCTGGCGTCCAGGGACAGCTTGGACTTCCAGAGCCTGAGGTCTTTCCCTTGAAGCCCAGTCTCCCACCTCCCTTCCCAGTTCTCGACTTTCCTCCTGGGCTCCCCAGAGACCAGGCTCCCCACAGGCACCAGGGCAGGGAAGTCTGGGGACAGCCTGGGTCTCAGGCAGGCCAGGCTTTCTGCTCACAGCTGAGGAGCGGGAAGTCCCTGGAAAATGTGAGTGTGGACAGGGTCAGGAAGGCTGTTGAGAAGCACTTCTTAATTGCGTGGGCTGCGGTGATATTAATTTGCCATGTAGCAAAGAAGCTCTTTTTTTAGAGAGATGTGTGGTGAATTATTTAAGGGTGAAATGTCAGGGTATCTGCAATTTATTTTAAAAATACTTCTGCATAAAAAATGCAGTGAGTTAAAAATACAGACGTGGAGTGGAGCGCGTGGACCGGAGTTGAGCAGCGTCCGTGGCGGGGACCTCCTGCCCTGCTCCTCTAAAGAAATTAGGCAGATGACCTGACCTCGGACAGCCTGAGCCGTCAGAAAATGCACCCCTCTTCCCAGCGCCCCGTCTGATCCCACACCCCCACCGCAGCCCGGGTGACCAACACACCAAGCACTTCCGGTGGACATCGGACAACAGCCACGTCCAAAACCCAGCCCGCGGTCCCAGCAAAGTGGCCCCAGACTTGGCATCGGACGGCGGATCTTACGCCGGCGCGTCTGGAACCGCACGCCTCGCAGAGCATTTCCCACTTGGGTTTTCCCCGTCCTCTTTGGGGAAGTCGTGCAGAAATCTGAGTGAGAGACAATACGTTCCATTCTTTCATCTCCTCTCTTTTTCCAACCGCGATTTCTCAAGCACCAGCCAGGGCAGCTGTAGGAAGTTGGGGTGCAACCTGGCTTCCTGGGCTGCAGATTTCTCTCTGCTCCTCCCAGCCCCTCCTCCATCCCTGTTCCTTCCTCTCCACCCGCCGGCAGCAGCTCCCCCACCTTTGTCGGGTGCCTCCCCTCCCCCCCACCGGCCCCCGTGACCGCCCTCCCAGTTGGGGACCCTACTGGCCCACTCCAGTGAGGGCTGCGGGGAGGCCTTGGGGTCCGGCGGTGACAGGGTTGTGGCCCTGTGACCCCTTCAAGTGTCCTCAGCCGGCCTTCCAGGACAAAAACAGGGCCCAGGCATGGGGGGTTCCGGTGGCCACAGGCTCCCCCCCAGGGAGGGTACGGGGGAGCCCCAGGAGTGAGCCCCATTTCCCAAGGACCATGGAACACCCTACCCCTCATCCCTCACCCCGAAAACCTCTTTCCTCTCCTGCCACCCCACCTGGCCCTCGGGCCCCTCACCTCAGACGAGGGCCGGGGAGCGGGCAGGAGAGGGGGCTGCCTCCGGCCTGGGGCGCCCTCTGCAACCCTGGAGGCCTTGAGTCTCCGGATCCCAGGGGCAGAAGCTGGGGCCTGAGGCGTGGGGGCAGGGCCCAGGAGGGGGTCTCAGCCTCTCTCTGTGACCTGCCAGAAAGCATGACTCTGTCCCCTACGCACGTCACGGGCAGCTTACTGGTAGACAGCTCTCCCTGGCCACAGCCCTTGTGTGTGATAAAGCACTGAGACAGTGAGCTTCAGAGACGGGACGAGCTAGAAAAAACAGTGTCCGTGTCGTACAAAGGCCAATACCCAGATGGAAAAGGACTGTGTGATCAATAAGTAAAGGGCAGCGGCTGGGCAGAAGGAAAAGTCAGAAGCTGCCGTCCCAAGAAAAACCCAGGGCAAATTAACACATGCAAGACAGGATCG